TACCGGCAAGTCTCTTTACTCGTTACGTAATGCATCATTCCGTAACTAACTCATTAGATACATTGTTTGCAAGGCTTATAGTGATGTGCATTATCGAGAGGGCCCAAAGATACCTCTCCGACAATCGGAGTGACAAAACCTAATCTCGAAATACGCCAACCCAACATGTACCATTGGAGACACCTGTAGTACTACTTTATAATCACCCAGTTACGTTGTGACGTTTGGTAGCACCCAAAGTGTTCCTCCGGTAAATGGGAGTTGCATAATCTCATAGTTACAGGAACATGTATAAGTCATGAACAAAGCAATAGCAACATACTAAACGATCAAGTGCTAGGCTAACGGAATGGGTCAAGTCAATCACATCATTCTTCTAATGATGTGATCTCGTTAATCAAATGACAACTCTTTTGTCCATGGTTAGGAAACTTAACCATCTTTGATTAACGAGCTAGTCAAGTAGAGGCATACTAGTGACACTATGTTTGTCTATGTATTCACACATGTATTATGTTTCCGGTTAATACAATTCTAGCATGAATAATAAACATTTATCATGATATAAGGAAATAAATAATAACTTTATTATTGCCTCTAGGGCATATTTCCTTCAGTCTCCCACTTACACTAGAGTCAATAATCTAGTTCACATCATTATGTGATTCAACACCAATATTCACATCTGTATGTGATTAATACACATAGTTCACATCGTCATGTGATCAACACCCAAAGGGTTTACTAGAGTCAATAATCTAGTTCACATCGCTGTGTGATTAACACCCAAAAGAGTACTAAGGTATGATCATGTTTTGTTCATGAGAGAAGTTTAGTCAACGGGTTTGTCATATTCAGAGCCGTATGTATTTTGCAAATATTCTATGTCCATAATGCTCTGCACGGAGCTACTCTAGCTAATTGCTCCCACTTTCAATATGTATCCAGATTGAGACTTAGAGTCATCTGGATCGGTGTAAAAGATTGCACCAATGTAACTCTTTACGACGGGCTCTTTTATCACCTCCATAATCGAGAAATATTCCCTTAGTTCTCACTAAGGATAATTCTTGACCGCTGTCCAGTGATCTACTATTAGATCAAAATTATATTCCTTTGCCAAACTCAGAGCAAGGTATACAATATGTCTGGTTCACAGCATAGCATACTTTATAGAACTTATGACTGAGGCATAGGGAATGACTTTTCATTCTCTTTCTATTTTCTGCCATGGTAGGGTCTTGAGTCTTACTCAATTTCACACCTTGCAACACAGGCAAGAACTCCTTCTTTGACTGTTCCATTTTGAACTACTTCAAAAAAAATATCAAGGTATGTACTCATTGAAAACACTTATAAAGCGTCTTGATCTATCTATATAGATCTTGATGCTCAATGTGTAAGCAGCTTCACCGAGGTCTTTCTTTGAAAAACTCCTTTCAAACAATCATTTATGCTTTCCAGAAAATTCCACATCATTTCCAATTAATAATATGGCATTCACATATACTTATCAGAAAAGCTGTAGTGTTCCCACTCACTTTCTTGTAAATACAGGCCTTTCCAAAAGTCTGTATAAAACCATATGCTTTGATCAACTCATCAAAGCGTATATTCCAACTCCGAGATGCTTGCACCAGTCCATTGATGGATCGCTGGAGCTTGCACATTTTGTTAGCACCTTTAGGATTAACAAAACTTTCTGGTTGCATCATATACAACTCTTCTTTAAAAAATCCATTAAGGAATGTAGTTTTGACATTCATTTGCCAAATTTCATAAAATGTGGCAATTGCTAACATGATTCGGACAGACTTTTAAGCATCGATACGAGTGAGAAAATCTCATTGTATTCAACACCTTGAACTTTGTCAAAAACATGTTCGCCACCTCCTTCGCCACCCCCTTTTTGCCCTTCTTTTTGCCCTGCTTTTTGCCCTTCGCCACCCCCTTCGTCTTCTTCGCGCGTTCTAGCGCCGCCGTCTTGTCCTTCACCATGGCGGCGGAGTGGCGGCGTCGGAACAGAAGAGCTGGGCGCGACGGAGAAGCGGAGGAGGAAGAAGGAGGTAAGGATGTGCACAGTGCAGATGCCTCGGTCCCGTCACCTTATAAAGGGCCGCTTCCAAGTGACTGACGCGTGGGACTAGGCAATCTTATCAAATCCCGCAATAGTCGCGCGCAGCGTACGTGGCAAAAAAGGCGGCGCAGAAATCGAGGCATCACTATTTATCCGCTCCACCCGCTTCGGCACTCCCCGTCCCGCACGCTTCCCATGAAATTTCGTATCCCGCGAAATCCGGGAAATGCAGCAGTCAATCACGCCCAAGATCCTGCATTCCAATACAACACTCGACAAATGACACCACAAGTTCAGCCGACGACTCCCTGATTGGATCAAGGCGACTGAATCGACGCTGAAGTACCAACGCGAGTTTTCCATCTTGCAGAAAACGCTCGCGAAGGCGCAAGAGTCAGAACAAGTTCAACTCCAACCTAATTTCCACTCGAACCTTAATCTATTCGGGGGCTACTGATGAGGATACAAACCTGGGGTAGGGTCATAGGCCTGACCTATACGTCCTACCCAAGGTCACTACCCAAGAAGGCAAGAAGGTCAAGAGACAACATGAGACCCCCGGTCGAAGATGTCGAGTGCAATCCACTCGACATCTGGTCACTCGGGAGCCTCCTTAGCTACTGTCATTCGACCAACCAGAGAATCACTCGACCTCCCGAAGACCAGGAGTTACTCAGCATGCAACGGACACGCATTCACTCCATAGTCTTTAAGGTCATTAACAGCACTTAAGGCTGACGTTACCAGTAACGCCACCACTTTATGTACATTAACTCCCTTGTAATGGAGGGCGGGAGAGGTCCTGGTGAACTATATATAAGCCACCCTCCTCCTCTAGCACAAGGGTTTGCACCCCCTGTAACATCACACATATAATCCAACCGACCACCGAGACGTAGGGCTGTTACTTCCTCCGAGAAGGGCCTGAACTCGCAAAACCCATGTGTACACCTTCGCCATAGCTGAGATCTTGCATCTCCATACCTACCCCCCTTTCTACTGCCAATCTTAGAACCACGACAGTGGCCCTTCAGCGGCGGTTCGTGCAGAACCGGTACTAAAGGAGGGGGGACCTTTAGTCCCCACCCTTTTGTGCCGGTTACAGAACCAGCACTAAAGGCCCTTACGAACCGGTGCTATAGCCCGGTTCTGCACTACGAAGGGAATCTTGCTGTGGGTTGGGCCCAAACATTGTTCTGAAGTGTTCCCATGGGCCGGCCTAGCACAACCAGGTGAAAAAGTCCATTGGTCAAAGCCCGTCCAGGGTTAGGCCGGCCGTTGGCTTTCGGGTGCTCTCTATGCCAGCAAATCTTGCGCTGGGATATCTTACACGTCTGGAAATGTGGTGGCGGGTGCAAACACCCGGCACATGGCTATGGAGTGTGCCCCCTTCATAGACGGTGTCGTCGCCGGCATTTGGAAGGGGGAAACGGCCATGTCGGGTCAACACGGAGGGAATCTTGAAGTGGGTTTGGCCTGGAC